TCATTATTAACTGAATCTGCTCATTCTGAGATTTTCTAATCTAACTTCATATCATTCAAGCTCATTCCTTTTTTTTTTTAACCAGGATCTTGCTTAATTGCCTAGATTGGGCTTGAACTTTCAATCCTCCTGCCTCAGTCTCCCAAACTGCAGGAATTAAAGGTGTGCAGTGCCACATGCAGCTTCAAACTTACCTTCACTGAGACCACTTTTTGTATTTTCACCCTTTTGTTTCTTCAGTCAGGTCCATTTGGCCGTATTTCCTCAGCTAGTAAGTCCTTTTTGCTTCTTGTTCTTTCATTTTAATTGCTCAGAAATTATCCTATTAAACTCATCATCTGTCTTTGTCCTTCCCACGTTGAGAATCTTCTGTAGTACTACAGAAAAGTCCTATTCCAGATTTAAGGTTTTCAATTCAGCTGGGTCCTCAGTGTGGCTTAAGTAACTTCTCCTTTTCTTAGGTTAACACTTTTCCTCATTTGATAATTTTGCAAGGTTCTCTGTCTGTCTTTCTTTGTTTCTGTCTTTATGTCTGTCTTTGATGATTGAATTCACTGAGGATTGAATCCAGTGTCTTCACAAAGAAATCTATATCCTGTTTAAATTTTGAGAAGTGTTTCACCCAGTCATTAAGTGGCCTGACTAGCCCTAAATTTGGCAGCCTGCTGAGATTATAGGCATGTGCCATCATTCCTGCCTTTATAAAACTTTTATAACTCAAACTCTGGATCCCATTTTGACTCACCAACTTCACATATGCTTATAAATATGCTTGACTTCTATTATTTTTCAGAAGAGATGATCAAATGTAAATGCTCAGTTTCATTTCTTCTATCTTCAAATTCATCTTCAACAATTTTAACTTTTAGGTAATTTGTCTTGCCTCATTAAGTATATTCTGCATTTCATTAGGGGCACTGCTCTCCTCTGGGATTTTAATTCAACAGTTCTCTCTAGTTACCTTGATCTCTTAGCAATTCCTTCTCCTCAGTTTAGAAATATATACCTTAAAAATATTTTTTTCTTATATATTCCTTTACATTTTGTTTACACAGGTATTTGTCCTTTGTGAGAAAACCTCTTAATAGCCTTACCTCATCTACCTGTCTAATGTGATTGTGTTGGTTGTACAGATAAGCTCAGTTTCTTCCTCCCTTTAAAGGGCTCTCTTTTCAAAACTGCTGTTTCCCTGGTCAGGTTCATGGTCATGCTATTCCTGTGTTTTCCTTTCACAGAGCTCTTTAGACCTCCAGATATTCACTATCTTATTTTTTCAACTCTTTTCAATCCCTTCTCTCTCTCTGACACTCTTTTAGCAAGAGTACCAAAACCACCAAGTTACTAAATTTAAGGAACACCTTATAGTCAGTTGTTCTGCAGTGTGTGGTGCTGTGCACTGTTACTTTCTTCTTCCTTGACTTACCTAACTTTGTAACAGCATTTTACCTTGACCTTTCCCTCTCTGGTGTTCTGTCTTTCCTGATCTTCTGTAGTTCTTCACTTACATTCTGTGTCCTTAAAATATCAGTGTGTTAACAAGGTGTGGTATTCCATAACTGTAATCATGATAAACTGGGAGTTGGAGGTCAGAGGATCACAGGTTTCAACCCTGCCTGAGCAGTTTAGCAATTTAGACTTAGTCTCAAAAAATAAAAGGGCTGAGGATATAACTCAGTACAAAGGCCCTGGGTTCAATCACTGATACACACGCGTGCACCCCCCATACACACACACACCACCATCACCACATTGGTTCTTCACTTTTTTTTTAAGTTCATGTTTTCCCTTTCTAAAGTATACAATTCAGTGGACCTTAAAGTACTGTACATTCAGTACCTATGTTATTATATGACCATCACCACTATGTAATTCCACAATATTTCATCACCCCCATACAAGGTATAGTCTGATACACAGTGTAGACTCACACACTACAAAAGAAACCCTCTAAACATTGCAGTCTCACTATAGATTTAGCTCTTCTGGATGGTTTGGAGAAATGGAATCATACAATCTTTGGTTTTTTTGTTTCTGTCTTCTATTTTGTACAGTGTTTACAAGGTTCATCCCTATTTTAAGTTATATCTTTTTTTATGGCCAAAGAGTCCCATTGTGTGCATTTTGTTTAATGTTTTATCAGTTGATAAAAATGCTTTTTAAGTTTTTAAAGTGTAGGCCTGTATATAGGGGTGTGCATTTTCAGGTTGTGGAATATGATGGTTCAGTTAATTCACTCATGAAATTTTTAGTGCCTGTGCTGCCTTTATTTGAGTTTTATAGACTTAACTCATTTACATGAGTTAACTCTCTTAACTCATTTGTGTGAGATGGAGGATTCAAAGATAAGCTTTGTCCTCAGAGAGCTTCGTTCTGATGGAAGCAACAGACATTTAAATAAATTCCTGAGTAGTGTGAGGAAGATGGAATTATAAGATAAATGTAATTTCAGAATTCAGCAGCTAACTCTGCTTAGATGAATCAGTTTAAACTTCACAGAGGATTAACATTTCAACTAGATGTTTAAGAAGAAATGAACATTTGCCAAGCAGGTTAAGGATGTTTCTGATGGAAGAAACAGTTTGTACGAAGGCATGGAACTGTGAAATAGCCTGATTTGAAGCAGCATGTTTGGACAGCTCTGACATCACTGTGATGATATCCTGGATCATATGAAGTGATTCTGAAAAAGGCAAATGTGGCTCAAACTGATGAGCTTAATGTCTAAGCAATGGAATTTGAATAGAGATTTGGATGAGCAGGATGGTGTCATTACTCCTCGGAGGTCTTACTGTGACCCTCTACACCAAATTCTTTGGCATAAGTGTGCACACAATCAATATGTTCTTTATTAATAACAAAATATGTCAATTTTTACAATTCCTTTTCTGTCTTTCCTTGAAAGTTAATTTTGTTTCTATTCTTTACTCCTTAGAACTGTGCTTGCTGTGATGAATAATGATTTGTCTCTGAAACTGGCACATACTTTTCAGTGGCTGTCATGGTATTTCTTCTTCTCTAAAATGTTCCTTATTGGCTACCATGAGACCACATTCATGATTTTCATCCTATTTTGGTCTTTTATAGTTTCCTTCGCATAACATGAAAGATGGTTCTCCAAAAGCAGTTCAGTATGATCCAAATCAGTGTAGTCTAAAGAGAATCTCTACTTTAGCTTGAGTGTTTAAGGTAGAATCTAATCATTTTTTCACATGGTTGCTAAGGATTAGAGAAGTGATTAAAATTGTATTTTGACAAGATTATAGGATGAAGATACTTGCCAGTTCTAGCTGGTATCACATGCATTGATAGAGTTAAGGTTCTGTTAAGAAAATTAAAGAACCCAATCATGAGCTGTACCTGACTTGACCATTCAGTCTGATATAACGAACAACTAGTAGGTCTTGGCAGGTCAGGTCTGATTTTGTGTTTTGGTTTTTTTTGTTTTGTTTTGTTTTTGTTTTTTCAGAACCAGGGATTGAACTCAGGCCCTTGCGCTTGCCAGGCAAACGTGTATTCCACTCAGCCATCTCCCCGGCCCCTTGATTTTGTCTTAAAAGAAAAACATACATATATATATATATGTATATATATGTATACATATGTATATGTATATGTATATATGTATATATGTATATATGTATGTATGTGTATATATATGGTTTTCTAAGGTAATTTTACCAATTTTTATCCACACCAGCACTGTGACTTTCTATCATGCTGGTTGTTTCTCACTTTTTAAAAAAACCTTGTTAGAAGACTAGGAATATAGCTCAGCAGTGCAGTGCCTGCCTGGCAAGGGTGAGGTTTTTGAGTTCGATTCTGAGTAGCAGAAAAATAAGTAAAAGTATGTTAGTTTCTTGTAAGTTTTTTGCTGTTATTTAAACTATAAAGCCTTCTATTTTCAGATTTACCCATTAAAGAACTATTTTAAAATATGAATTAATCTAATTATCTCATCTTAAGTTCATGCCATGAAATCAATTTGTATTTTTATTCTCTTAAATGTATTTACTTGTGCTTACTGAGTTTATTTTTATATTCATAGGGGATAGTTATAATTTAAGTATACTAAATGGTAGTTGTCATTTTAAAAGCAAAAACGAATTTTTGTCAATAGGGGAGAAACTGATCAAAAGAAAAAAAACTGTTGGGAGAAAGCGGCAAAGAAGGAAGGGTAAAGGAAAAAAAAATGCATGCACAAGACAGTTAAGATAGGTATACAACTGGGTTTTTTTAGTTCATTGAGGGAAAAGTTCTGTGCTAGTCATTTTCTGAGCAATGCTTCATGCCTGTATGCTATACAATGAGCAATTACTGTGAATATAACAAATGCACAATGTGTTACCCTCCTACTAGCCTGTTTTAAAATTGTTTTATTGTTATTTCTTGCTTTTTTTCTGTTTTAAAAAAAGAGCTTTGGTTTTGCTTTTCATCCCTACATAGTGCCTTTTTGGAGACAAGGTCTCACTGTATTCTTCAGGCTGGCTTTGAATGCACTGTGTAACCCAGGCTGGCCTCTGATAGTGATCCTCCTGCCTCAGCCTACCAAGTGCTGGAATTCCAGACATGCACCACCACACCTGTCTTCTGGTTTTGTTTTGTTTTGTTTTGTTTTGTTTTGTTTTGTTTTGTTTGTAGTACTGGGGACCAAACTTGGGACCTTGTGCTTGCCAGTCAAGCACTTATACTTCTGAGCTATATCCCCAGCCCATTTGTTTGTTTGTTTGAGACAGAGTTTCCCTATGTAGTTCAGGCTTGTACTCACTGTGTAGTCCAAGCAGGTTTGAATTTGGGGCAATCCTCTTGCCTCAACTTCCTGAGTGATGGGATTATAGGCATGTACCACCAAGCCCAGTTTTCAATGGTGATAGTTTATTTTTTAAATTCTGCTATCTGTTCCTTACTAATAATATAACTTATGGTTCTGTTATAGAAGTATATTTATAAGAATATATATGGAATGTTTAATAAAGTTAACTAATGGATCTTTTTGTTTCAAGTTGGCCTTTGTCAGAGTTTGATCCAAGCCAGATTCGACTAATTGTGTATCAAGACTGTGAAAGACGAGGAAGAAATGTGTTATTTGACTCCAGTGTTAAGAGAAAACATGAGGATACATCAGTATCGGTAAGAATCATTTTTAAGTTTTTAAAAAACATTTATGTTGAGCATTTTAATAATTAATAGAATTTGAATTGTAATTTTTGTGAGTATAAAAGTTGTTTAAAATTTATAGTCCTTATTTTAAGATTAAAGAAAAATACTTGCTTTGTCTAGGCAAGCATTATTTTAGTTTGACAATTATTTCCTTATATGATTGCAAGATATGACCAGAATTACTGGCAGCCTTACAAAGAATCTGGTCTAAACCACTCATTTTGAACTTATAGAAAGTGAAACTAGAGAGATGAAATTATTTCCCTGAAGGTACAAAGCAAGTTAGGTCTCTAACCTTTAGAGCATCATATTTTCTCCTTAAAGGGGAGGTAAGGATTTAGTGTTAATTTTCAGTGCCATATTTTAAAGTATGTTGTGAAAGACTTTGCAGTAGTTCATGTACATTCACTTGATTGGTCATGAAAACAGGCAGTGCTGCTATCATTTTATACACTCAGGCCTGCTATATAAACAGAAACAGTTTCTTTGAAAACTTACGTAGCCAAAAAAAAAAAACAACTTACATAGCCAAATCAGCTAAGTGATTTTATCACATTACTTTTCTTAGGTTTTTTTTTTTTTTTTTGGAACCAGGGGTTGAACTTGTGCTTGCGAGGGAAGTGCTTATTCCACTGAGCCATCTCCCCGGCCCCCTATACCTACTTTATTTATTTATTTAA